CGTGGTTGCCTCTACCGCATGACACAGGAAGAGTTAAGTGTGCTATGGGCACAACTCGACGACCTTCTCGAGAAAGGTTGGATTCGGCCTAGCTCTTCGCCATATGGTGCTCCCGTTCTCTTCGTCCGGAAGAAGAACAAGGATTTGCGGTTGTGCATCGATTATTGCAAGCTCAATGCGCAAACCGTCAAGAACGCCGGCCCTCTTCCGCTCATCGACGACCTCCTCGAACGGCTGGGTGGCGCCAAGTTCTTCTCCAAGCTTGACCTCAAATCGGGATATCACCAACTCGAGATCCCGCAGGAGGACTGCTACAAGACCGCATTTAAGACGCGATATGGGCATTTCGAATAGCTAGTTATGCCATTTGGCCTTACGAATGCCCCGGCCACATTCCAAGCGGCTATGACAACGGAGTTCCAACACATGCTGGATAGAATTGTACTTATCTACCTCAACGACATCTTGGTGTACAACCGGAGTTTGGACGAGCATGTGGAGCACCTGCGCACCGTTTTGGAGCGGCTACGACAAGCCAAGTACAAAGCCAACCGCGACAAATGCGAATTCGCACGGCAAGAGCTGGAGTACTTGGGACATTATGTGACGGCGCAAGGCATCCATCCGCTTGCGGACAAGATCAAGGTCATCCGTGTATGGCCCGAGCCCACCAACACCACGGATGTTCGCTCATTCATGGGGTTTTCGGGCTACTATCAACGCTTCATCACCGGGTACTCAAGGATTGTCGCACCTATGACGAGATTACAATCGCCAAAGGTGCCATTCGTATTCGATGACGACGCACGCCGGTCATTCCAAGCACTCAAGACGGCCATGCTCATGGCACCCGTCCTTAGCATCTACGACCCCACCCTGCCAACGAGAGTGACAACTAACGCTTCCGGCTATGGCATTGGGGCAGTCTTGGAACAACACGACGGCGACGACTGGCACCCCGTGCAGTATTTCTGCCACAAAGTGCCTCCCATCAATTTACTTGATGATGCAAGGAAGGAGCTGCTCACGTTCGCAATGTCTCTCAAGCGATGGCGGCACTACCTCCTTGGGCGTCGTAGGTTCACATGGGTCACCTTGGGCGTCGTAGGTTCACATGGGTCATAGACAACAACCCGTTGACCTACTACAAGACGCAGGATACGGTGAGCAGCACGATTCATCGACCAATTTGACTTCACACCGAAACATTTCGCCGGCCTCTCCAATCGCGCAGCAGATGCACTCTCGCGAAGACTCAATCTTTGCGCTATGACACATCATGCCTTCGCATTCGACGAGGAACTCCAGCGACACTTCATCCGGGGCTATGAGTCTGATCCGGATTTCGCCACGTTGTATGCGCAGCTATCTTCGGATCACCCGCCGGCCAGCCACTATCGCATCGTCGACAGGTACTTGCTCCTCCACTTGCGCGGCAAGGACTTATTGTATGTCCCACGAAACCATCGTCTTCGGACTCGCGTTCTCGGTGAGTACCATGACTCGCGACTCGCCAGCCATTTCGGAGTCAATCGCACTATTGCACGACTTCAACAACGATTCTCATGGTCCGACCTCATTACCGATGTCACTCGGTATTGCGACTCTTGCAAAGTTTGCCGACGAAGCAAGCCCCGCAACAGCAATCCCTATGGCGAGTTGCTCCCGATGCCTATCCCACGGGAACCCGGTCTCTCCATTGTCATGGACGTCACCGGTCCATTTCCCCGCGATCGCCTCGGGCACGACGGCATCTTCAGGGTCGTTGACCGTTTGAGTAAGTATGCGCAATTTCTCCCTTGCAAGTACTACGCCACGGCTCCCGAACTTGCGCCCCTCTTGCACACTGTCTGGATTTGCAGCCACGGCGTACCGAAAGACATCGTCAGCGACCGCGACACTCGTTTCATGTCAGCATTTTGGACTTCTCTCATGCAGGAATCCGGCACGAAGATGAAACCAAGTTCGGCTCGACATCCACAAACAGACGGGCAAACGGAGCGGGCACATCAAACCGCTCAAATAATGCTTCGTACGCTCATCCGTCCGGATCAGAAGGTTGACCGCCTCCCCGACATCGAGTTCGCCTACAACACTTCGTTGACTCCATTCGAGTTGCGTCACGGTGGCCGGAAGGGCCGTATCTTCGCTGATCCTCTCCTCCCACAAACATTCGACATAGACGCTGCTTGCTCCCCCGCTTCTGTTCGGAAGTACAGGGAATTGTTGGATCAAGCCCGCGCGAACATACAAAAGGTTCAAGTTCGCATGCAGCATCAAGCCAACAAGCGTCGCGTGCCATGTCCCATCCGCGCCGGTGATCTGGTTTGGGTCTCCACAAAAGAGTTTGCACTCGAGCAGGATGTTCGCGCAAACTACTCCCCAAGTGGTTTGGACCATGACCCGTAACATCAGCCGCGGGCGATGAGCCCGATGACCCCTCATTTGTGATCAACATCCCCCTGCATCTGACGGTCCATCCAGTCTTTCACGCCTCGAAGTTGGCGACATATACACCAGCTAAGAGCGACGACTTCCCGGGCCGACGATCGCAAGATCCTCCATCTATGGACGGTCATCAGGACGTTGACCGCGTCATCACTGATCGCAAGAACGGCAGCAAGCCTTGACAGTACAAAGTTACATTCAAGCGTGCAATCTTGACGACACTCGATGGATTTCAAGAGCAGATTTGAAAGTATCCGCACCGCTGATCTACGCTCACTACGAGCGACAAAGGTTCGCTCAGGGAACTTCACGACCTACCCCTCCCACCCGGACTGTGGTCCCTCGCTCAGACAGACAGCTTCGCCCTCGCAGGTAAACTCGGTCTTTCAAGGAGAGGGGGGTGTGGCATACTACGCAGCCACACGGGCCTGCAGGGCCCGACCAGAGTTTTCAGCCAAAAAGCCTGAAAACAAGGGCTTACAGGCCCTGTGTCGTTTCAGCCTGAAAGCCTGAAAACGAGTGCCTTCAGGCCCTATTATGTCGTTTCAGCCTAATACAGGGCCTTCCAGGCCCTGAGTCTTTTCAGCCTGAAACGGAGGGCCATTTTCAGGCCCTCATAAGATCAACCTGCCCTGAAACTTAGGCACCAGACCAGGGTTTTAGCACACGCCATTTTTGGCCTGTTTTCAAGACAACCCTTGGTTGAACCTGAACGCCAGGGTCTGGCACGTTTTGGCATTGGCAAGAGCAGCCTCCTGGACGGGCCAGCACTATATAAGACTGGCCCGCCCTACAGGCTGGAGACAGGCTCGAGGTAGTTCCTAGGAACTTCCTAGGCACTTCACGTGCAGGAGGCAGGAGGCAGTCTTCAGTAGTCGGCAGCAGCACTCTGGAGGAGCGCTGCAGTAGTAGTAGCGTTAGCAGTAGTCTTCAGCGCTGGGCGCTAGTAGGAGCTAGAGTAGTGGTGGACAGAGAGGGATGGTTGGCGGAGGCCAGGGAGACTTACCTGTGGTGCCATAGCTCCAGCTTCGTCTTTGAGGTACCTGCAACAAGGCGCCTCCTTCACAGGTTAGTACCGGACTGAGAGAGAGAGAGAGAGAGAGTCCTTCTTCTTCCTCTTTTAAGTCCACCATCTCCTCCTCACCCTCTCGCTGCCTAACTGCTCAGTACCTGCAGACTACAAGAGAGAGAGATTGGTGACTTTGGGACTTGACGACATTGGATTCAGACTCGACATTGGGATTCAGATATTTGACGAGGGATTATTTGGGACCTGTGCCGAAGACTTGGTGTTGACGAAATTCCCATCTTCCTTTCTTCTTCGTCTAACCCCCCTCTTCTTCGTCTGTGCATGGTTGGGGACTGGCGCATTCGTCCTGTGTGAGCGCCAGGCCCCTTCACACCATGGACTGATGATGATGCATGTTTGGGGCTGCACTGCGACATTGATTGTTCGGATCATTGGTATTTAAACCTTCCACTGTGCTATCTTGTACTTTGTGAGAGAGGTCGGTTCTCGTTCTGGTCTGCACCTTCACGGTATGCGACATGCACACAGTTGCTTGACTGGACTAGGACTGACTGGGACTGGTACTCAGCAAGGGTGGACTCCACCGCTTGCCCACTTGCCTCTGTCTAGACACGAACCAACTTCGAAAGGCCACTACTGGGACCTTCCGGAAGTCTGTAGTCCTGGCCTTTCGAATACTGTAGCAGCTACGACCTTGACCTTTCAGGACTGTAGCAGCTATGACCTTGACCTTTCAGGAGTCCTACAGCTACGACTTCGAGAACTCCCTAAGACCTCTATCCGACAGGTCTACAGATCGAACCCCTACAACCTATGGACCCTACGACACTCTACTGACTGTTGCGAATACACAGGTCACGGGTTCAACTCTCGGGATCGACGCAGGTAATGTACATAGGTAAGGGAAAGTCTAGGGATCGAGCCCTGGGATCTGCATTCGCTACTGCTAACAGGTGAATACCGTTTCAAGTTTCCTGTTGAGGATGTGCAAACGGAGATTGGGTCTTTCCATCCTTATTCTAATAAAACATTAGAATATTTTAGGTTTTTCCCCAGCCCTTCATTTTTTGGTTTTTTTGTTTACCCTTTACATTCAGTGCACTTTTGCCTTACAGCATTATGGTGATTTGTTTTCTTTTCTCTCACTCTTTTTCTTTTTTTTTTGCTGTTAGGAAGTATGGTGTCCACATTCTGGATTGATGGCAAGTCTGGTTAAAAAGGCCATTGGACTTCGTATAAATGGCATGACAAATCACTGAAAATTCAGGCCTCCGTTAACCATCTCTCAGCTCCTCTCTCAGCATCGACTCTGAGGTTTCCTGGCGTCACTGTGTCCTGTAGAAAGGCTAGAGCAGAAACTCTTCTGAGAGTCTTGAGTGAATGGCTTAAAGAAAGTCTTCAGAGGTGCAGATCAAAATATACATAGATGTTTCTTTTTCAATTTAGCATTTGCAATGGCAATAAAATGATCAAATCATGCACGAAAGCAGTATTTGCCTACAGTGCGCTTAGCTCCTCATACCTGTGTCATTCTCCCGAACAACGTTGTTTGTCTTCTCCTTTGTGGAGTTGTCCCACCTCCGCCACCGGCCTTGAGAGTTCGCTGCAGAAGATGAAGAAGAGTGGATGTGTTTGAAAGCCAGTAGGCTAGCACATCATTGTTATCTGAATGGCTCTGTAAACATAGACACATTAGTGAAAATCATATCAGACAAATCTGCCTTCTTTCTTCAGGGCTCCCTGCGTTGTGCCAAAACCATTGCTTACCTCAAAATAACGAATTAACATCCCTTCATAGACATCAGCAGCTGAAAATTGCCCACATTCGGCTCATGCCCAACGAGTGTTCTCCCTATACTGGTTTTCACCTTTTCATATTATTTATTTTCTAATTATTTGTTTCCTCGATGTCAGAGGACATAACACCACCAAAGACTCGAGCGATCATCAATACAGATTCACCCATGTGCTGGTACACAGAGGCCGTGATAGGTTCTGCCTACCATGTGCAAAGGGGTTGCGAGGGAGGTAGGTGGGCTGAGACCGTGAGGCACAGAAGGTTTAGTGCCCCAATTTTGATGATTTATTTATTTTTATTAAATTTATTTTCCTTTTTATTTTAAATAGGTCCTTATGGTCCTGGCTCCTTTTCCATTCTGCGGAGCGTCAGTCCGGTTCCAATTCCCTCGGCAAGTCAAAATTGAACTCGTACTGTTCCTCCTTCGTGAACTTCATGGTATTCCGTTGCCTTGCCGCTAAGCTTGATACCACTTCTTCCATATCAGCCTGTTGTCCGTTATGGTGGCAACCTTGCCCCTTAACAACCAGTCCTTCAGGAATCTGTGTCTCTTGACTGCATGCTTTTCTGGTCTGTTATGATCCTGGCCAATTTCGAGATACACATTCATCAGATAACACAATGCTGTCCAATGTCAGAAGGAAATGAATGAACTTGAGAGGAGAGAGAGGATTAGAAGAAGAAGAAGAAGTAAGAAAGAAGAAGAAGACGATGTACACCAGCATAGACAAATGACAAGGCTCTTCTTCCTCGCCCAACAATCTCCTCCTCCTCATCTCCCCCTTCTCTTATTCATACAAGAAATAATAATACAATGTTGAATGACTGATCCAGAATCAATGTCCGAGTTCCTCTTCTACTGCCGGCATCACTTGAGGTCCACCATTGAAACGGTATTCACCAATTCGTGGTAGCTGAGGTAGATCCCAGGGCTCGATCCCTAGTTTCCCAACTTACCTGTGTACAATACCAGCGTCAACTCGAAGAGTTGAACCTGCGACCTGTAGAACYGYCWGTGGTAGGTMGGTCTGTCGTAGGKCTATAGGTAGCCAGGATTCGATCCGTAGACCTATAGACTAGAAGGCTAGCTGCAGTCCTTCTAGAAGGCTAGCTGCAGTCCTTCTAGAAGGTTAGCAAGTGGTCAAGTGGTGCAGGCAAGTGGTCAAGTGGTGCAGGCAAGTGG